CTGATTGCTTTAAAAGTCTTTAGAGGAAACAGGACTTGCTCCAGACTTTTATGGCCTTGAGAGAACACACAGTGTATTTTTATTATAGCTGGCTTACAATGGCTTCTGCTACTCATGTGCTAAATACCTTTAAGTGCCCACATCAATTTTAGCCACGAGAAACGTCTGCACACACAAGAAAAGTCTTCTACTTACACATTCATTAAATAAATCAGTCCCCTCCAAGATCGGTGTTTGTAAAATGAAGGGGTACAAGATGTTACATGGTTTCTTCATTAAACAGCCCTAGTTAAGAGAAAATTACAATATTAAGGACAATGTACTTTAATATATTTAAAAATTAACTTTTTTTACCCCATGCTTCCTTTCTGCAGATAACCCAGTGGCAAATTGGATTCATGCTCGCTCCACGAGGAAGAAAAGGTGTCCTTATACAAAGTACCAGACTTTGGAACTAGAAAAGGAGTTTTTATTTAATATGTACCTAACCAGGGACCGGCGTTATGAAGTTGCCAGGGTTTTGAATCTTACTGAGCGCCAGGTTAAAATTTGGTTTCAAAACAGAAGAATGAAAATGAAGAAAATGAACAAGGAAAAAACCGACAAAGACCAGCCCTAGACTCTGCTTACCACATCTTCTTATCAATAACCTCGTTATAACAGATATGTGAAGAAAACATTTTGTTTCCCGTGGGCTCAAGCATTACTTCATAATAAAAATAGACTTCTATTGACTATGAATGTGGACATCGGTGTTTAGATTAGATAATAAACACACACACACGCATTGTAAAAGCACATGCTTTTATAAAATGCAGATTTAACAAAAAAAGTTTCTCTTCTCTATCTATAAAGGAAAAAAAATAACAAAAAACAAGAAAGTACTTGAATATTTTTTTTAGTATTTTATTTTGTAACTTATACTTATCCAGTGTTAATTTTTATTTGAAGAAGTTTGTGAGTGCATATTTTGTATAATTCAAATCGGAATCTACCAGTATGTTTTGTTATAGTATTGAAAGTCTCTTGGATGTATATATTTATGTATTTTATTCTTGTCACAAAGAAATGTTCAGTATTGTTCTGTTATGCTTGTAGAGCAGCTCTATGTAAATATAGAAGAGTGCACTATAAAGCCTTTGTGTGTTTGTGGCTATATGAAACAAAAAAACAAATACAAAAGAGGGAACAGTTCCATGGGCCAAGAGCGGTAATAGTACATAGAAAAGAGGTGCAATTTCATCTATATCAAATACATTTAATTAATTTGTGATCAATAGTACTTACCATTAGACAGGTTAGACAGGGTCTTCCACAGAGCTCAGATCCCTCTTAACACTTTAATAGTCTGTTCAATCTTGTAACTTACTAGGCATTATGTATATTTTGTATTTCCTTGAAGTGGGTGTATTATAGCTGAAAGCATGTGAGAAATATGCATCCCATACCCAGGAATGGCACTAAATGCAGCCCTGAAAACATGATTTTAGAATAAAGCTGTATTTGTTTCATTTGCATCTGACTCCCAAGTTAGAATACATGACATGATTATTTATGGTCTCAGTCAAGAGAAATGTCAGGTTTGGACAATAATAGAGGGCCGCATTCCTAATTTAAGCTGCTTCCTGCTAGGCCTGCCTTGAGACTCCAGATCATTCCTTATTTTATGGTAGGGTATCTTATACATACATTTTAGTTTAGTGGTGAATGTACAATGTACTGCTGCGACTTGACTTTAACGTAAACAGAAAGCGACTTGGAAAGAATCTTCATTTTACAATGTTTTTAAAGATCTCATGAGGCTTTATTGGCGTGTGAAAAGCTACTGGAATAATATAGTTAAATATTTTATAGGTAGGACGCAGCCTGGAGGAAATGCACAAGTAGGCCAGCTCCAGAATCCTCCTAATGGCGGACTGTGAGGACTATACAAGCAGCACCAGCAATGTTTGACCATGAAACCTCACAATAGCATTGTAGCCATCTTTGGCAACAGGAATTTTTATTCCACATGTACAGATTTACTTCTGAGCAAATATTTTTTTTTAAAAACATGCGTGTATGGGTCATATTTGATCTTTAGAAAAGATACCAGTTTATTATACCCAATGACGTCATATTGATATCCTTATTTGTTTGTCATTTAAAAATGGTTAAGGGATAACACAAATTACATTAAAGATTTGTGTTTTTTTTTCTTCTTTTTAATGAGACAATAACATGGGAGAATGTTATGGCGAGCTGGAGAATGTTGCAATCTTTAGAGAGTTCCCAGCCTTCCATTCTTGAATTGGTTGTCCAGGATCAAGAAGGGCCCCCGATCCGCATTATTATCATTCAAATATAATTCATGCCAAGGACAGATTTAGTGATCTTAGCAACCTTAGGATGACTAGCCGCTTCAACAAGCTAGCCCTTTAGCTATTTGAATAAAAAGTTGATGTTTAATTTAATATAAAAAAATATACATCATATTGCAAAAGGCGTACACATAAACAATCTGGTACAAACTTCCCACATCTCCAAGGTTTGGCTGAAAGATGTGATCTAAGATGTCATTGTCACTTTGACAATTGATCAATCAGTTTAATGTTCCATGATGGGAAGTTTGTCTTTCAAAAGGAGAAAGACGAGAATAAAGAAGGAGATAGAGAGGGACAAAGGCAGAGAGATCAAGTACATCTTTGCATGTTACATTTTACACACCGTGTTTTTTGCTGTACATTTTGGGTAGGATTGCTACAATCTCAGGGCTTTTAGTGGTTTGTGGCACATATGTCGTCTTTTCGGATGGTATCATATAATCCAGGCTTTTGTGAGCAAGATAAAAAGGACAGCATGGTGCTGTTTTAGGGCAGGCACTAGGTATACTTCCGCAGAGAAAGCCAGGCTTTACAACCTAGTATGTCTCACTGCTGTGTGTGTTGAATGGAGGTGAACAAAACAAGAGCCCAGAGCTGGCTAGACGTCTGGCATTAATTGTTTTATGGTTTAAATAAGGTGCATACTCTGCTCTTTGAAATTGGATTATTGGAATGTTTTGTCTACAAGCAACAAACAGCCGACTTCAGTGCAATGAAAAACTGATACATCCAAAAAGCAGTAAAAGTAGCAAAGAGAGGTGTGCAGCACATATTTGTGCACAAGCACGACAGGACTGTAATACGTCATACTGCTACTCATACCTTTACTCATTCTACTATATATACATATATACATGTCCTTCTAAGATTGTGAGGGGCTAGCTCGTTCTGCTGTGTCTTTACTTAGCAGAATGAAAAATGAAATAACATTATCATGATCATGAAGATAGATAGATAGATAGATAGATAGATAGATAGATAGATAGATAGATAGATAGATAGATAGATAGATAGATAGATAGAGAGTAGTAGTACACTATACCACCTTCATTCTACTACATACACAGTGCATAAATACATGTCCCTGTAAATTAGTGATGGGCCTACTGACGATTCTTTTCTCCAATGTACATACAATAACATTCATTCAACAGTATGCAAATAAAAATAGCAACACTCAAATGATCATGAAAATAGATGAATAGATATATAAACAGAAGAGAGTACTTACACACATACAAAATATGTATACACATAGAAACTTGAGTATGAACCTTTAGACATTCAGAGTTTCTGTGAAGTACATTCCAATATTTTAAAATGCACTTCATATGCTTAACACACACACACACACACACACACACACTACAACACATACGTTTGTGTATTTTTTATACTATTATATCTAGATATCTTTGTGGATTTGGTATATAATGGGGTGTGTTCAGCATACTATATTAATATTTTGATGAACATATAAATACACAATGACGTCAAATACACATACCCATACATATGACATATGTAATACTCATAGTCACACACACATACACATTGGGGTTAATTTCCTCAGACAGAGATACTATCTGATTTACCAAAGGAGTGGAGAATGTTCACACAATAAGTTGTGTGAACATTCACTTAATGTATCCAATCATGTGCAGATAAAAAAACCCTAATCATACATTTTCTTTTCACATGATGTAATAATTGAAGTGAACATTCACACACGTTATTGTGTCAAATTCATACTTCTTTTAGTAAATCAGCCTTAGACTTCCAACCTGGGGAAAAAAGTGAAGAGTTTGTCAATTTAATCATTCAATCAGGTGTAAGCAAACACTGTTGGAGGATTGACTAAAAATGGAGTAGAAGGAATCTGGAACAGCTGTGCATAGTAACCAATCAGCTTCTACCTTCAGCTTGTTCACTTGCTTTGAAATGAAGGCTAAAAGCTAATTGGTTGCCAAGCACAGCTACACCGGATTTGCTCCAGTCATAGTACATTTTCCTCTGTGTGTTTTTGATTTCCCTGCCAATGACTGGGTATTCAAAGTGTACATGACTTTATTCACTAAGTGAAGTTAACATTATCTACTCCTTTAGTAAATTACTCCAGTATGTACAGTGATGCAGAGTAAACTAAATAACATAAGATGTCTATATCTATCTGACTTTTTAATGGCATAAACTATTGGCATGCTTTTTAAATGAGACAAATAATGTGATCGAATAGTGATTTTGATAGTATCCTACATTTAGGGGACACAACAAAGATATTGAGAGAGAGAGAGAGAGAGAGAGAGAGAGAGAGAGAGAGAGAGAGAGATGTAAGTATATTATACCACCATATGTATATCACTGTAGAATAGTTATATTTAACTCATGTGAAGGATACAGTCATAATTATTTTAGTTTAATGACCCATTTACAAACTGTAATGCATTGTTTTTGTTGTTGTTTTTTTGAAGAATCCATAGTTTTTCAAGGAATGATTTGGTAAACCTGATGATCTGCTTTATAATCTTTTGACACATGGTGGCGCTGTTGCTCAAATTTTAAACTACTTTGGCCAATTAAAGTTGCATTGCATCCCATTACACCTTAGGCCCCTACAGGGCAGTTGGAAAACAAATCAAAACAAATACGCACAACATCCTTCACCCCCTGAATGGCGAATTAGCATGTAATATGTATAAGAGCGTTCACAAATTACAAGTGGGTCACCGTGATGATAGGCGAGTCTCCCATCTAGTAGTAACATTGTAACTTGTGTTGATGGGAAACGGTCAAGTTGCAAATATAGTTAATTAATGAGTCATTGATCAGTCTATTACACACTGACAGCGTTTTTAATTTCTGCTCGTTTTTTTGATCAGTCTATATTTTTTTAATGACCACAAATGATTGTGAATCCAGCACCACAGTAGATGAAGTAGGCCATCCATTTAATTTGACCGTAATAGCCACCAAGTTTTACAGACCTCAACAGTATGGAAATGGAACAACTAATGGTGGCCCAACAAGGAAGAACTATGTTGACTGTCATGTGATTAGAATAACTTTAACAATTACACATACATTGGGGTTTTTATGTTTATTAATGGTAGGAGAGGTTCTACTGTATTAATCAATATTTAGTAAAGAGGAGGATGACACAAAGCTAACTGTCACATATACACACACACATACACACACAAATGTGTGTGTGTGTGTGTGTGTGTGTGTGTGTGTTTCTTTTTTTTGCACTGATTACATTAGTTGACAATAATTCATGTCACTAATGTCACTACACTTGGAGGATGTCATGTAATAGTACTGTAGGTACTTCAGACAGACACATATTAAAAAAAAAAGGGTGACAACTTGTAGCTAGCAGAACCATAACCACTATTTAAGCTTATCATTCCAGATCACTGCTACATTCATGCTTGCGATTTCAATATCGTTTAATATAG